AAACAAAGTTTTTCAGACTAACCTGTAAACTTTGCTCTAATTTCTGAAAATCATCAAAATATGTCAACCATTTTGTCATTTTCAGAATGTAATATTCCCACTGTGCCAGAGTTTGCGTTTTTCCAAATTCTGGGATTTTGTGTAGATTTTCAAAAATTTGATCTTCATTTTGAATTTTTCGAAATCCAAATGCCATTTTTCCCAGAGAATTTCTAGCGATTAGAGGGGTCTCGGAGCCCTGAAATGTTTTTTGAAGTTTCAAAAATTTGCAGTTTCAGGATTACTGTACCTGGTGTAAAACAGTGAGAGCCTCATCCAGAAGAAATTGAACATCGATGAAATTTTTCTTGAATTTTTCGGAGGATTCCGGTGATTGAGGAGCACAGAAAATGATGAAATTCGAGCGTCCCAGAAAAATGTCCATTGTCTGAAAATTTGAGTAAGTTCCGGAATCCTGAACTTCTGAAATTTTTGAACTTTTTGAATTTTCCTCGAAAAATTCACGTTTTTGGTCGAAATTTCATACTGAAAACACTTTGAGAGGTCACATTGATTCCTATTGAGAATGGCACCGCGATATTGCTGGAATTGTCTTCAGCATTTTTGAAAGTGCGTTTGTACAAGTTTTCAGAAAACTCTCAAAAGCCAAAGTTCCAGTCAAAAAATTTTCACAGAAAATCGGATATCCAATTTTCCGAATAAGGTTTTCCGAGCAACCATGTTCGGGGCCGTTGCTGAAACATGTAGAATTTGTTGAAACCAGTGGTCCGCTAGTGGAACCGGTTTGGGACCGTTCTTCCCGGAAAGACCGACTTATTTTGTCACACAAATCAACAGTAGAAAATAAATCGTGACATGAATTCGTTTTGAAAAAGATAAGATCTCCAAAACTGCTATAAAAGAAGTAGAAAACTAGAAAAAAAGTCAGTTGAATGAATTTAGTTATTGAATAGTAACACTTTTGGAACCATGAAGAGACACTTCTCCTTCGGGATCCTCCTTCTCTTTTGTGGTGAGAAGAACCTCAGACGGGAAGTACCAGAAGTGTCTGCTCGCTTTTTCTTAGATATTGGGGGAAAGGAGTGCGAATACAAACGAGCGGATGGTGGAGAGGCGAGGTGGAAATAGGGGGAAGGGAGAGAGAAACTAAATCCTGACTTTGAACTGATTCCATTAATTTTTTGACTCTTGACCACTCTCATCATTACGTTCAGTGTCTGATTACCTTCCCTCTCTCCTCCTTTCTTTTTGTCAACCTATCTGCGTCTCTTCTTATCTTATCTCGTGACGCAATTTTCTTTTTGCCGATAGACCAGAAACATTTTATTCTATACGGAAAAAAACGATGAATTCTGAAGCTCTGATTTGCGAAATTTGCGGACAGGAAGCGCGCGGAAGTCACTATGGAGCGGTGGCCTGTAAAGCTTGTGCGGCATTTTTCACGTTAGTGATGGCCTAGGTTTTTCTAGGCCATGTCCGTTTTTAATGGGTCTTCTTAAT